TTTAAAAATGTTGCTGACAGGATATGTCAGTTGGTTGGATGTGGAGTGTTAGAAAAAAAGACATTCAGAATTACTCCAAGGTTTCAGCCTGAGTGCCTGGAAGAATGGAGTTCCCTTTTACAGAGATATGGAAACTTGCAGGAGGAGCAGGTGTATGAAGGAGAAATAAGAGTTTAGTGTGGAGATTTTAAGTTTGATATGCCTACTGAATATTCAGATGGAGAGTTTGAGTAGGCAGTAGCATGTAAAAGTTGAGACTTTGGGGGAGAGCCTGGGCTTGTTATAAATTTGGGAGTTGTCGTTAAACAGATGGTATTTAAAGCCCTGAGACTGGATGAGATTATGTAAGATTGAGTGTATGAGTATATAGGGAAGAGGAGAGGTCTGAGGGCTGAATCACGGTCCTATGAAGTTAAGAGGTTGGTCGGGAAAATAAGAATCTAGATGCAGAGACAAAAAGGAGGTCCAGAGAAATAGAAGGAAAATCAAGAGGATGTGGTGACTGAGAAACCAAATGAAGAAAGCATTCAAAGGAGGAAGAAATACTTAGTTCTCAAATGTTGTTGATAGGTGTGTAAGATGAGGACTAAACATTGTCTTGTCAGTATGGAGATCTCTGGAAACCCTGTGATCAGTTTCAGTGGAGTGGTAGGAGGAAAGCCTGTCTAGAGTAAGTTCAAACAAAGTAGCAGAGATGTTAAGTGTAGGCAGCCAACGTAGCTCTCTCAAGGAGTTTGGTTGAGAAGAGAGGCAGAGAAATGGGGCAGTGAGTGGAAAGGATTGTAGAGTCTGCCCTTACTAGGTGTGTGATCTTGAGCAAATTAATTATCTTCCCCATGCCTCAGTTTCCTCACTTGTAAAATGGAGAAAATAATAGGATTTTGTGAGGATTAAATGGTTAATATATTTAAAGCATTTAGAAGAGTGCTTGTTGCTTGATGTTTTAGTTATCTATTGCTATATAACCTATTACCACACTCTTAGCTTAAAGCAACAAACATTTATTATTTTACAGTTTCTCTGGGCCAGTAGTCCTTGCATGGCTTACTTGGCTCCTCTGCTTTAGAGTCTCTCACTGGCTGCAATCAGGGTGTCAGCCAGGGCTGGATTCTCATCTGAAGTTTTGACTGGGGAAGGACTGTTTCCAAACTTACGTGGTTGTTGGCAGAATTCAATTTCTCCAAGATTGTTGGACTGAGAGTCTTAAGTTCCTAGCTGGCTCTTGGCTGGAACCTGCCCTTAGTTTTTTTGCCACATGGGCCTCTCCAACATGGCAGCTTGCTTCATCAAAGTGTGCAAAATGAGAATGCAATGAGAGAAACAAGACAGAAGTCACAATCGTATGCAGCTAATCATAGAAGTAACATCCCATCACCTTTGCCGTGATTCACAGGTCCTGCTCACACTCAAAGAGAGGGGATTACACAAGCAGGTGGATGGGTATGACATCAGCAGGTGGGGATCATGGGGAGCCATCTTAAAGTCTTCCTGCCACATTTAGTGAGCACTTTGTGAGTGTTGTTATTATTGTCATTATTATTATTATGATGGGAATGATTTGGTAGAGAAGTGGGTAGAGGAGAGAAAGGGTAGAACTGAAGGAAAAATGTCCTTGATTAGACAACAGGAAAAGAAATTTAGTGCACAAGTGGAGTGATTGGCCATGTTTGTCTATTGTTTTAAGGGGGTAAACAGATTGAAAAGGTCAAACTGTGGCCATTGGTAGATTTAGAAGTTCTCTTTTGTTTACCTTTTCTCAGTGGAAGAGGAAGTCGGGTCATCAGCACAGAGGGAGGAGGAAGGAAGACATGCTGTAGGTTTGAGAAATAAGGAGAACATTTGAATCATCTGGAGTGGGGAGATAATTGACAGGAGATGTAGATGTGATTGACAGGCATCACTAAGGGCTTACTTGATGTTCATAGCCATGTATTTAAAGTGAGACCTGTAAGTGTGATTGTTTTTCTTCAGCTGCTTAGGTGCAAATGTGACAGAAACTGAAGAATAACAAAATAAAATAAAATGATAAATAGATCAGTAATAAGGAGAAGGTTTTTTTTTTTCCCTTTTGTCTTTTTTTTACTGACTGGTAACGGGATCGCAACCCTTGGTGTCGCGCCCGTACCGGGGACTGGCAACGGGATCGCAACCCTCGGTGTTGCGCCCGCACCGCACTCAGCCAGTGCGCGGGAACCGGTCTCCACATGGGATCCGAACCCTCGGCGGGAGCGCCGCCGCGCTCCCAAGTAGCGCACTCTCCAGTGCGCCACCGGGCCGGCCCAGGAGAAGGTTTTAATGAGGATTAAGTTTCTACCAGGCCAGTATGATGGAGGGAGACAGAAGAAAGGAATGATTATAATGGACCGTGAAATCTATGTTCATTAAAGACAGAAGTGAGGACAGAAGCAGATGGGGGCAGTGAGAAGATGTTGATTAGTCAGTGAATTGAAGGGAAAGAAGAATTGTTGAAGTACTGGAGAGAGCTGGGAAGTTAGGAGATAGAGGTCAGAGCACTTGCTTGAAATACAGATCATGGAAAGGGATACTGTTGGTGATAATGAGAAGGTCTTAAGGGTATCTAAATATAGGGCTCATTGATCCAGTAACTTGGAATACAATGAAGAAAAGTATTAGATCCTGTATTTAGTTCTGACAGGTAATGTTGTGGACATTTGCTTCTTTGACTAACCAGTATCCACTTATCCTGACATTGTAAAGCACCTTGATTTAATTGTGAAAACCATTGCTCCCTCTTTTTAGTCTGTGTGATTCTAATGGTGTTGACTACTGTTCCCCAAAGATGTCATTGACTTTGGCTAGCCAGTGAAAATATCTCATATCTAGTTACAGTGGTAGGTCCGAGGAAGGTCACATGCCCTAATCGAGCCATGAGAGACAAATTTTTGCTAGAGAGTTTTGAGAAAGATACTTTTGCTCTTCTGGGGCTCCTTCAGCTATCTTGCTACATAGTGGGGAAGTCTGTCAAATAATTGAGGCAACATGGGAGAGAGAATAGGTAAATGGTGAAAGAGTCCTGGTGACATCATTTGAGCCCTTAATCAAGCCACCTTAAAGCTCTGGAATTTTTAGTTAGTTGGGTCAATAAGTCCTCTTTTATATTTAAGAGGGTTTTCTGTCACCCATAATTGAAAGAGACCTACTGGATAGATGCAGTTACCGTAAAGAGTTTGCCAAATCCTCTAAGCTTGTTTGAATGAATGGAGTACAGTGTAGTTGAAAGTTTGTTAAGTTGTGAATTGTTAAAACACTCTTTCCCATAGATCTTTTAGATATTATTCTTTAGTGTGTTTACGGTCCTGAGAAGGCAGTATGGTGTAGCAAAGTGAACATCAGACCAATCTGGAGTCAAGTCTTGTGTCTGATACTAGTTGTGTTATTTCAATCCTCTGAGCCTCAGTTTTCTATCTGTAGAATGAAGAGAATGATAGTAATTTTGCAGGGTGATTGGAAGGATTAAATGGGATAATGGATGTAAAATGTCTAGCATGGTACCTCATACGCTTGGCTGCCTTCTCCCTTCCTCTTTTCCCAACCTCTAGCATATTGTCTGACACATAGTAGTTGCTTAATAAGTTTTAGTGTGAAGAATGCATACATAATTGAACAAACAACATCAGGTTCTTCTTTTAACCCTTCTCTTCCTGAATTTTTACTGTATCTGGTACTGCAGTAACAGATACTAACAAATAGTCAAGTGGGTTTTTTTGGCAAATGAAGTCTTGCTAGGTAGAATTTCTTTTTTTTTCTTTTCCAGCTTTGGCAGCTGTCTCTGACTCAGTTATGCATTCACGTTCATGTTATCATTCCAAGATTATGGTGAGAAATAATGATGACACCTAATACTCATTGAGTACTTATTTTAAGACATTATGCTTCATACTTTGCATGTAGTATCTCATTTACTCCTCATAATAGGATAACCTTAAAAGTATGTACTGATTCCAGAGTCCAAACAATTTCTTAGATGAAATGAGAAAGAATACATAGTAGGAATTTAGCACACTTTATTCCCTTTCCCTTTTTTATTTTTTTCCCTTTTGTCTTTTTTTACTGACTGGTAACGGGATCACAACCCTCGGTGTCGCGCCCATACCGGGGACCAGCAACGGGATCTCAACCCTCGGTGTTGCGCCTGCACCGCGCTCAGCCAGTGAGCGGGAACCGGTCTCCACATGGGATCCAAACCCTCGGCGCACTCTCCAGTGCGCCACCGGGCCGGCCCCCCTTTCCCTTTTTGAGAATTGAAACCCCTCTGATTGCATGCATTTAGTTAAAGACAAAATATAGTATATTGGTTAAGAACAGAAATTCTGGAGCCAGACTGTGCCTGGGTTTGATTCCTCTCTCCATCATTTGCTAATTATATAACCTTGCGTAAGTTATATAATCTCTGGGTACTCCAGATTCATCATCTGTAAGATGGGGGCAATTAATAGTACCTACTTAATAGGTACTGATGAGAGGATAAAATGCATTTGTCTACGTAAAGTGCTTATTGACACTGTCAAGAAAGTAGTAGTATGTAAATGTTGGCTCTTACATTTAATATTCCTTTTATTTCAGCAGATCCTACATTATAGTAGTTACAGTATTATACATAATAAAACTTGACTTTTGAAATCATCTTAAACCCAGTGGTGTCTCTAAAAAAAATCACTCTAGTCAGAGTATCATCCTCCTCTGAGAAGCTTTTTCTGGTAGTCTTCCTCTTCTCTGATCTATTATTGTACTTATTTGTTAGCAATTTATTATCGTTAATTCATTTGACACTGTGTTAGTTTTGTGTCACCAACTAGATTGACTTTAAGCCCTTTGAGAACTAAATCATTTCTTATGTGTCTTAGTATCCCTTATAGTACAAGACATACAGTGAAAACTTGGTAATTATATAGAAGCAGAAAATAAAATAGAAACAGTATATTATTTTATGTTTAAAAAGATCTAAAATACAGTCTTATTAATGTTTTACTTTGTTTTAGGTTCCTAAATATTTGTCACAGCAGTGGGCTAAAGCCCCTGGAAGAGGCGAAGTTGGGAAACTGCGGATTGCCAAGTAAGTTATTTACATATTATTGACATTTGAAAAAGCTGTTTATTGAAAATTTTACAAGGGCTTTGAAATATGATTATAGTTCTTGGTCACATAGAGAATTTACTTGGGAAATGAGGAATAATGTGCATGTCAAGGCTTGTCAAGAGATGGTTGGGTGCCCTGTAAGGAGACATGCTTACGCACATACATGCTTATCCTCACACTCATACCCCTAGTGACAGGTGGAGTACATATAACTTCAAATTCATTGGTAAAACTTTATGGTAGTGAAGCAGCAGAGAATGTAGTTTTGTCATCTGTCCATCCTCTCTACATCCTGCAAGGAAGTGTGCTTGGGTGGGGCATAACTGGATGCACCAAGGAAAGTTCTTCGGTAGAAGGACTTTGACACTGTGCCCCTGTATCTATTTATAGAGGCTTTGGAAGGGGGCAGGGAACATCTAGTAAAAAATGTAACAGTGTAGTTTCCTGGTTGAGGAAAATGGTCTTGTTAGAAAGGGAAGCCTCCAGAGCTCAGCTGGTGTCAACTGGAGGCCTTGTGTTCTATTCTTTTTGTCCATTTATTCTTAATCCAACTCCAGTCAGATTCCCATGCCTACTCTTGTCTGTTACCAATATCCTCTTCTTTATCAATTAGTTTTTGCTTCAAAACAAACCACTCCAAAACTTGGTGGCTTAGAACAAAAACCGTTATATTTGCTTATAATTCTATGGAACATTTCTGGTTGGGGCTGACCTGGCTGGCCTTCCTGGCTAGGATGACCTCACTTGTGTCTGTGATTGGTTGGCTAGATATCGGCTGAGGCACCAGCCATTTGTTTCGTTCCAGCATGCTCATTCACATGATGGTGGAAGAGTTCATAGTAGCAAAATAGAAGGGAAGCCCCAGTGCACAAGCACTTTGTGAGTCTGTGCTTGAGTCATGTTTGTTAAAGTCCTGTTGTCCAGAGCAACTCATATGGCCAAGCCCAGATTCAAGGTAGGACAATAGACTCTACCTGTTGATGGGAGTTGCTGCAAATAATTTGTGTTCCTTTTTTACAATCTTCTACATCCACATTCTTAAATCTAAGAGCCAACTAGCAGCCCTCTTAATTTACCTTCAACAGAATTTGACAGAGTTGATCATCTGTTTCCTGAAATCCTTTTTTCACTTCATATCTGTGATATCACTCTCTTTTCCTCTTCCCTCATTGGCCGTTTCTTCTCAGTCTCTATTGCTAACTTCTCATCTTCTCAGTCTCTAAGTGTTATATGACCCCAGGGCTTAGTCCTTAGTTCTTTTCTTTTCTCTCCCTTTACTTCCTAGGTAGTCTCATCTGGTCTCATGGCTTTAAATACCAGGTGGTATTTAAATATATAGCTCAAGCCTGGGCTCTCTCTGAACTCCAGACTGATAATTCTGAGCTCCTCCTTGATGTTTCCTCTTGAATATCTCAGAAGTAGCTCAGACTTTGTAATTGGTATTCTGTTTTTTCTTTCTGGAATGCTCTTCCTCTAGATATTCATGTGTCCTGTTCCCACATTTCTTTTAGGTCTCCGTAGAAATATCAGCTCATCAAGGCCTTTTCTGACCACCCTATATAAAATAGCACCTTGTACTCTCTACCCCTGCTTACCCTCTTTTCTAATCACAATTCTTTCATGTAGCTGATAAGTATTTACTCATCTTCTACTGTACCTGTCTGACATACCATATTTTTATTTGTTTGTGTATTGTCCATCTTGAATATAAGCTCTGTAAGATCAGGACTTTTGTCTTGATAACTGCTATACTCGTATCTCCAGTGTCTAGAACAGTGCTTAGCATAGTAAACACTGTAGATTTTTGTTGAATCAGTAAATGAAAACTGCTGCTACAAATTTAGTAACAATAGATATTTTATTCTTTTATTTTCTTAAACTATAGTTCCAAAAGTGAGATTGTTAGTAAATAACTGTGAGCATTTTTAAAGCTTAAATTTTTCCTCTTTGCTCTCCCAAAGTATAGAGCTTAGGCCTCTTTTTGTCTAAAATACCCATAGTCTCGGTCGAAAACCTTATACTTTCCAGGGGATCATTTTAGAGTTTCCTCATTAAAGCCAGTCAGCTCTGGAGTTTGGATTTAGTGGATGCTGTCTGGGTTTTGTTCTTTGGAAAACAGCGCTATATGCTTGGATAATGTCGTATTTTTAAAGTAAGAAACTTTGATACCTTCACGTGTTTATGCCCTAAGTATTTAGTTCTTATGTTGCTTGCATTTATTTTAGACATACCTTTTAGTTACTCATTTTGTTTTAACAAGATATTGATTGGAAATAGGCATGCTTTTATATGCAAAGTTCTAAAGTCAGGTAGGAACAAGTAATATCTCCTTTTCTCAAGGAATGGTTACGTATTTAATAGAAGAACCAGACTTAAATTCTGGCCTTTTAGTGGTAAGAAAACTCCAACAGGTTCTAGTTCCTGCTAGAACTAGATCTAGATCACTTACTTACTTACTTACAAGGCATTTTTGAGGCATTAAACTATTATTATATAATTGTTTTTAGGTGGGAATTTATATACTTCATATTTTTTTTAGATTTTTTTTTTTTTGGCAGCTTGCCAGTATGGGTATTAAAACCCTTAACCTTGGTGTTAATAGCACCATGATCTCCCAAGTGAGCTAACTGGCCATAGATCACTTACTATCAGTTAGATTTTATACAGGTCACTGGATCTTTCTGAGTTTAGATTTTCAAAATAAAGTTGCCTGTTTTGCAGGGCTTTTATATGAATCCAGTGAGATAATATGGAAATAGTTATTTAATTGTATATTTAACATTATAAAAGGATCATATTCCTGGCAAGTTGTAGATAAATCACATTTTTGTGATTTGTAATACTTTTTTTTTTTTTTCCTTTTTGTCTCTTTTTTACTGACTGGTAACGGGATTGCAACCCTCAGTGTCGCGCCCGTACCAGGGACCGGCAACGGGATCACAACCCTCGCTGTTGCGCCTGCATCGTGCTCAGCCAGTGAGCGGGAACCGGTCTCCACATGGGATCCGAACCCTCAGCGGGAGCGCCACCGCGCTCCCAAGCGGCGCACTCTCCAGTGCGCCACCGGGCCAGCCCTGTAATACTTTTATTGAAAGAAAAAGTGTGTACTTTTTTTTTTTTCCTTATTGTCTTTTTTACTGACCGGTAACGGGATCGCAACCCTCGGTGTCGCACCCCGTACCGTGACCGGCAACGAGATCGCAACCCCCGGTGTTGCGCCCGCACCACGCTCAGCCAGCGAGCGGGGACTGGTCTC